GAATTCGAAGTAGATTTCTACCTATGTTGCAATCTAGACTCTTCAAAGGATTCAATCCTACTTACTTGGATGTTTCTCATCTCTAATTGGTTGCTATTCCTCAAAGGATTCAATGTTGAATCCTACTTACTTATAGATGCTTTTCATCTCAACTTGGTTTTAATCTTAGTGTGTGCTTAGATTCAGATCACAATTCAACAATTTACGTGCATTCCTGCATAGAATCTCCCAGGATTCCATTCGAAATTCCAACTCTTAGACTCATTCCACGATTCCGGCCAAGATTCATTCATGGATTCCAGTCTAGATTCTACGTGAATCCTTACGTAATTTGCCACTTGTACTTCATTACATCACAGGGATTCCTATCCGAACCGAACTCTTCCTGCATTAACATATACATTCTCATAATTCCAGGTAATTCTTATAATATTCCGGCATGGATTTCAACCTCGAGTGTGTACAGCAGTGTACACCCTTTACTGTACATTGCATGTATCCAGTGTGGGGCTCAATAATAGGTTTTGAACAACTTTTTATCACAGAATAAACCCTCTTATAACCTCTCCCTATCATTGCCCTTTCTCATCCCACACGCCCCACCCCACACTCCCCCCNTTCCTGCGATGTGCACAGCTGATTGCAAGCCGATCGTCCGAGAGTGGAAGCTGCAAAATTGCTATTCCAACACATCCTGCTTCAACTTAACTTTTGTGAGATGCTTTTATGGCACATCGAAATCCAATCATCTGGTCATGATACCATCTCATTCGTGATATTCGTTTTATGATCCAATCCGAAATTGGATCAACGATCAGTCTGTCCACCTGAGAAGAATGCCATATGCAGAAGGTACCTGTACTTCGGTCGAATGAGGAAGATATGGGATGTCGATTTACTCTCCTCAAGTGGTTCCGCATTTTTGTTTAAATTTAGGAAGCATGAGCTCTAGTGAGGTAAGAAGATTACAAATGCAAGTTCCATCACCCCTGCGCTGCGTTGAGAGGAAACAGTTAGCACCAACACCTCAAACTTGCCTACACGAACTTTCATGACAGGCTTTCCAGTTAACAGTCACGTACTAGCCAAGTGGCAGCATTTTATTGAAGAATGAATCTGTTTATTATAAGCAAATAATTATTTAGTCAATTTTTGCAAAACGGCTCTACCTTGGTAAACATGTAACGTGAAATATTTGATTTTTGTTTGGCTTCTTCCTAATTTCTGCCACTAATGAAACTGACCCCAAGTCGAGCTTCTACAAACGAAAGTGACACAATTCCGACGTTTAACTGGCTGGCGAAATTGACAACATATCCTATTGAATATTGAGGGATGGATCTAGTTGTGATAAAGAGGTCTCCACATCAGCCCAGAACATATCGAATATATTATATTTAATGTTCCACCAATCCCAATCTTGAAGGTCTCACTTTCGAAGTATGGGGTATTTTATTATCAACCTAACATGTGTACAGAATGGCACGTCTCTGCCTTCTCCTCTCCAGTGAGTACAGTCCCACGAGCTACAACCTGTCCCAGTAGCGCAGGTCCCTCATCCCGCTGATCCTGCATGGACGCAAAGGCCCGTTGAATGACCTCCAGTTGCCGCACTGCGCCCGCATTGAGTGGCGCCCAAAGCTGGCAGCAGTACTCAGAAAGGGGAGCACCAGACTCGGAAAAATGTAATCATTTGCGACGTTTCCCTTGTTCGAAATGTCCGCCTGATCTACTCCATGATTTGTCCTTTTTAGCGCCTTTTCTCATATATGGAAAAATGCACTATTGTGCTCGCCATGTCCGTCTGTCTATCTGTCTGTCCGTCTGTCCGTCCGTCTGTCCGTGACCTCAAGTTTTCGTCGACGAGATAATGCGCTCTCTGTCACTCACTGCTGTGAGTATTGACTTATATTTTTTCAACTTTCTGCCATATGTACGTGTTCATGAAACTTAGATTCGGGATTCATCAGTACTCTGAAGTTGGAGCCACCCAATGCCCTCCACGCTGACTAAAGCTGCACCGAACAGTATCCAGCTGCACCAAACTGCTCCCACAGCACTTAGCTGGACCCAACTCTTCCCACAACACTGAGCTGCACCCAGCTGCACCCAAGAGTATCCAGCTGCACCAAACTGCTCCCACAGCACTTAGCTGGACCCAACCACTCCCACTGCTCCCAAAGCACCCAACAGTACCCAGCTCCTCCCAAGTGCACCCTGAGCGCATGACGGACGAGAAACCGTCATGGCGGGCAAAAGGCGGTCATTTACGGTCGTGTGCTACACGCTGCAATTACGGCTGCTAATGCCCCCGCTAATTTCCTGAGGTAAGCACACAAAGCGCACGAATCCCTGAGCAGCGATAAGCCCGCAGCCGCGCGCCAAAACTTGCCAGGCCTGATTACCTCATTATTGCCGCCCCCGGGGGAACTGGGGGATGATCATTGTAGGGGGGGGGTTATTGTGTGCGGGGTGTACCTATTGTGATTAGGGAGGTTTATTGTGACAGGGGTGTGTATTGTTTTTATGTTGTAAGGAGGTATGTTTATTGTGCATGTGTTTTGCTTATTGTGCGCGGGTGCGCCAGCGGTGTATTGGTGGAGCGCGTTAGTGAGGAGTTTAGGGTCTGTGTGCTGGAGCGTGTGGTAAGTTAGTGTATGTAATTAGTGTTAGTGCGTTATAGTTATGTTCGGTAGCGTGAAACACATCAAACGCAACATCAAGCACAACATCAAACGCAACATCAAGCACAACATCAAGCGCAACATCAAGCACAACATCAAGCACAACATCAAGCGCAACATCAAGCACATCAAGCACAACATCAAGCACAACATCAAATACAACATCAAGCACAACATCAAGCACAACATCAAGCGCAAGATCAAGCACAACATCAAGCACAACATCAAGCACAAAATCAAGCACAACATGAAGCACAACATCAAGTGCAACATCAAGCACAACATCAAGCACAAAATCAAGCACAACATGAAGCACAACATCAAGTGCAACATCAAGCACAACATCAAGCACAA